CCCCCCCAGGCCCTGTCCCCGGGGGTCCCACGGGGGCGGGGCCCTGTGCTCGCCCCCGCACCAGAGACTTCAGGGATGGGTGCCCCACACCAGCAGTTGCCAGGAGGCAGCTGGTTCTTCCTCTCCCTTAATACCACAGCTATTTTCCCCACCCCCGCAGTGCCTGGTGGGTCCCAGCCCCAGGGGGGCTGGGGGTTGGCCAGGAGCAGAGCCTGATGTTTTCTTCCCCCTCCCCATTTTAGCAAACATGTCCTGACTGAAGATATCGTGCACCGGGAGGTGACGGCGGACCACAAGCTGCTCTCCCGGCGGCTCCTGACCAAGACCAACCGGATGCCCCGCTGGGCAGAGCGCTTCTTCCCGGCCAATGTCGCCCACTCCGTCTACATCCTGGAGGACTCTATCGTGGACCCCAAGAACCGAACCATGACCACATTCACCTGGAACATCAACCACGCACGTCTCATGGTAGGTGCCCGCAGGCGGGCGTGTGGCCGGGTGGCAGGTGCCAGTCAGTGTCTGCAGCCACATTGTGCCTTGTGCAGGTGGTGGAGGAGCGCTGCGTGTACCAGGTGAACCCGGAGAACAGCAACTGGACCGAGGTCAAGCGGGAAGCCTGGGTCTCATCCAGCCTGTTTGGTGTCTCACGGGCCGTCCAGGTGAGTGCTGCCAACTGCTCGAGCAGCGCTGCGTACCCTCCTTTGGAGAGGCTTTAAAGCTGCTGCTCCTCCCTGCTCTACCCCTTCCTTGTGCTGGTTTTTCCACCCTTGCCCCTCATTCCCCCAATTCTCATGAACTCTTGGGGTGCCCAGAACCATCACTGCTGGTGGTCATGACCTCACCAGACGTTTGGGACTGGTCAAGCTGGGACAAAGCCCCAGGGGCTGTGTCTGACCAGGGAGCTGGGCTTGCACCTTCACTGACTTTTCCCTTGCAGGAGTTTGGTCTGGCCAGGTTCAAAAGCAACGTGACCAAGAGCACTAAGGGATTTGAATATGTGCTAGCAAGAATGCAAGGTGAGCACCCGAGGGCAGGCTGGGCCTGACCGGGATGGGTCTCTTAGAGTTACAGGCCACACTGGGAACACTTCAGTCCAGGGGCAGGTCGTGGCTTGAACTAATCCGACTGTGAAATCCTTGTCCTTTGCCCCCATGTCTTGGCACAGCCCGCTCTTCCTGAGCGGAGCAGCCAGGCAGCACTTAGAAGGCCGGGCAGGGGCAGAGTGCAGGCAGGAGGGGATGTAACGCAGCAGCAGTCACGTGCCTGCAGTTCCCCTTCTTGACGTGCCCTGACGCACGCAGGTCAGGAGCACCAGGCTCATCTTCCCCACCGCATGCGGAAGTCGCCTCTGTGCCTAGGCGATGGGGCTGGTCTAGCTTGCATCAGCTGGCACTCCTGTGCCAGGGCAGGGCGGAGGCCCGCTGGGGCTGGGTTAACAACTTCTATGTTACAGGAGAAGCTCCATCCAAAACACTGGTGGAGACAGCTAAGGAAGCGACCGAGAAAGCCAAGGAGACGGCTCTGGCTGCTACGGAGAAAGCCAAGGACTTGGCGAGCAAGGCAGCCACCAAGAAGAAGCAGTACGTGTGAGGGGCCGGGCATAGGTGGGCGCTGGCTGCACCAGAACAGATAGGAGCCTCCTTAGATTTTATATTTTTAAACAAACTGTACAAGTCTGACAATCAGCTGCTGTTAGACCCTTTCTGAGATGTAACTATCATTAAAGAATTTACTCCCACCTCAGACTGGGCCTGGGGCTGGCCTGGCTAGAGCAGAGCCCAGCGCTGTCCTCTCCGGGGATCCAGCCCGCTGCCTGGGGTCTGGGCTTGCAGGCAAGACGCAGGCAGGAGTTTCACCAAGTGCCTTTACTAGAACGGTGTCAGGTATGTACAAGAGAGGGGGGCGGCTGCAGGAGTGTGAAGGCAGGTTGCTTAATGCATTCGTTTCCCCTTCCTGGCTCTCCAGGGGCTGCAGAGCCCTGCTGTAGGCGTGTCTGCTGGGGGTGGCACTGCCCCAGACCCACGCCAGGCAGCCCCCGGCCCCCAGCCTGCCTGGGCGCGCATGAGGGGGAGGCAGGAGGGTGTCCCTGTGACAGCCAGGCCCTCATCCAGTGGCTCTTGCAGTACATTCTGGTGCACAGCGGGTGCCACAGTGCTGTGCCAGCCCTGTGCGCCCAGCGCCGTGGCTGGTACTGCTTAGTGGCCCAGCTGTGGGGGAGCCAAGCCGGGTGCTTGTACCCACCCCATGGCCCCTTACCCAGGCAGCCGTGATGAGGCCAGCGGAGGCTGCGTTTCTGGCAGCGGCAGGCAGGGAGAAGGCAGGCAGGCAGTGCAGGAAAGGCAGCAGGCACTGTCAGGACGCGGGGCTGCGAGGGCTGGAGTAGCTGTGGTCCCTCCCGGTGCAGAAGCTGGGCAGCAGGTCCCCACTGAACACTGCACCGTCCACCTCTATCTCAGCATCCTCTGGGCACCAGGGAGGGCAGGGGGATGCTGGGTTAGGCCCCTGGCAGCCTCCCCTTCCCTGCCCACCCTCCCTCCCCTCACTCACCTCCCTCGGAGGGTTCTGAGAGCTGGGATGAGTCTAGGCTGTCTGCCCGTGCCCGTTCCCCTCCTGTGGGTGAGAGCAGCCGTTCCAGCCGCCGCCGCAGGCTCCGCTGCCGATTGCGCAGCCGGTCCTTGGCCCTCCGTGCCCTCAGCTCTTGCTCCTCCAGTCTCTGCAGGGATCCAGTGAACCGTAAACAGGGTCCTAAGCTGGGCGGCCCTGTTGCCTCTTGGGGGCCCTCTGGCCAGGTCCCCGGCTGGAGGGCCCCTGAGAGGTGGCAGAGCCACCCCCCTCACCTGGATGTGAAGCCGTGCACGGTGCAGGAGGCTCAGCGTGGTGGAACGGGCCGGCCCCGCGCCTACCGGCACCTGCTGCTTCAGCCGCTCCAGGCAGCACCGGAGCTGGGCTCTCCTGCGGCCGGGGCAGGGGGGGGACACGGGTGAAACGGCTGTCAGTCCCAAGGGGCCACGGGCACGGCCACCTCCTGCCCCGCCGCTCCCCACCCCCGTACCTGTGCTTCTCCAGCGCGTTGTGCACCGACCTGCGGGAGAGCCCCCGGCGATCAGAACCGGCGCTACCGGC